TGTGGAACCTCTTCAACCGCTAACCAGGTTAATACACATCTTAAGAGAAACTGCCTGTACAAAAGTTTTCCAGTAAAAATAAAATCGATTTTATCTTAGCAGACACTATCTCCGCCCACCCGCCCTCTCTTTTTTTAGAGGGTATCTCATTTGCCAAAGTCAGCCTTACATTAGCAAGTACCAGCCCCGCTCACCCACCCTCTCTTTTTTATACGGTATTCCATTTGCCAAAATCACTTTTATCTTAGCAGGTACTAGCCCCGCCCACCTGCCCCCTCTTTTCTTAGAGAGTATGTCATCAGTACTTGCTCAGATAAAACTGATTTTAGCAAATGACATACCCTCTAAGAAAAGAGAGGGCGGGTGGGCGGGGCTAGCAATTGCTAAGATAAAATGGGTTTTGCCAAATAACATACCTTCTAAGAAAAGAGAGGGTGGGGGGGCGGGGCTAGTACCTGCTAAGATAAGACTGATATTGACAAATGACATAGCCCCAAAATTCTTTTAAATAATTTACAAAAAAAATGTCAAAATCAGTCTTACCTAAATAGGTAGTAGTGACGCCCACCCACCCTTTCTTTTTTAGAGGGTATATCATTTGCCAAAATCATTTTTATCTTAGCAATTAATAAAAAATAAAAGAATCGGGAAAACACCCGGAACACATTTTTAGATGTCGTAGGTGGGAGCAGAGAAGGAAAATGCAAACAGAAATTGGGGTTGAAATTTATTCTAAGAACGCAATAGCCCTCATGCTAGGAAATGAACGCAATTTCCAAATTTATCATAAAAATAGCCAAGGTCAAAGAGGAAGAAGAATGGACAAGACAAAATAAAAAGGAAACACCCAGATCCTGAGCGACGTGATTTGAAGTTTTCTTTTTCCTGTTCTGCTATCCCAATGAGAAGATAAGAGAACTGGCGAGAATTTGGCGACCAACCAGCCCCATAAAGTAATGCAAACGCGGTTCGGGAAAGGGGCTTTAGCCGATAGATGTTCTGGCACTACCAGAGATGGTCGAACCGTGCGGGTTTCCCCTTTCACAGAAAATAAAAGTGAGGTCAGGTCTGGTCAGGGTAGGTCAGGTCAGGTCAGGGATGAGATTTCTAATAAATTACACGATGTATTGAATGACGGATACTAAATAGTAATCAACTTAAGTAAATTGTTTTTAAAAGGGTAGAATTGTCTAGAGAAATTTTGATGTTACAATTAAAGTCCGCCCGAGCAGGAGAGTCATTTCACTCTCGAAAAGATGGTGGAGGCACTGAACGCAGTAAGAATAGAAATAATAAAGAAATAAAGAAATTCACCGCTTTTAGAGAAACCAGACCAAACAGGTAAATAAGAACTGGAACAGATGGGATTATTGATAAATATAAAGAAAACTGAGGCAATAATACTAGGAATCAAAAGAAAACTGCCAACACTACAAATCTCTCAAGACATTGAAATTACGACCAGTCAAGCACTAAATACCTAGGGGTGTACTTGGATGAAGATTTAAGAATTGCGAAACATGTAGAGCATATCACTATAAAGGTAGAGAAAAATGACCATTGCCAGACGGAGTTGGGTTGGTGTATAGTTGGCTGCCTACATTTCACACATTGTTAATGCTTTGCACCAGTTTAAAAACAAACTTAAATCCGATGATTGCTTGATTAAACGTATCAGTTCAAATTTCGATGAAGATCTACTAAGGGAGCGGTACATACGACCCAAAACTTTGCCGTCTAAAATCTTGTCTTGTGTGTGCCAGCTTGTCGATCTGGCTGTAGGTATGTTGTCTCCCAGTGGTCACGGTGACAAAAAGGGTATAGGTAAATTCTCTCCCGGTTCTCCAGGTTACGCAGGTACACAGATTAAGGCTAATGGACGGCACCGTCGAGACTGTGCAATAATATACAAGAATGTATTTCACCAAAAAAAAACTGTTTTTGTTGAAAAGAATTAGTACCTACATGTAACATCCACGCCAGAAATAAGTTATGCGCATGTCCAAACTATACTTTTTTGCATAACATTTATAATTATTTTACAAATACACATAATTATGTATTTATCTACAACCTAAGCCAATAAAAAAATATGTGATGTAGTAAGCCGTTTCGAACCAAATTTCCGCGCGCCAAACTTTTGGTAAGAAAAGGGATAGAAACGGAAAGAAACCAAAACCACTAAGAGGGAGGTGCGCAGAAGGGTCGTGTTGGAGAACGGTGAGTCGCGGCCATATTGACTGGGTCTTTCTTTCGAGTAAGACGTCAAGTTGGTGCTCTCTGCGTTTTCCAAGTGTCTGTGCGTTTTTGTTTCCGTTTTCAGCGGTGATTCCTTTCAACGGAGTTCCATCCCCCTGACGAACCAGCGAACGTAAGATTTCTCTGCTCCATTTCGAACAGAGAGAGGCCTTATTTCGGTGGTGAATACGTTTTTGATTTGAAGATCCAAAAGGTATGTTTCCACGTGATTCCGTGTGTGCTGGTGGAAGAAGCGGCGTTGCTTCTCGATGGTTACGGAGTAGGTGAGACGCGGGAACCACACATGTGAGCTTCGCGTGTGTCTCACATACGCGAACGGACGCTACGAGAATGGTGGCACTTCCGGATGACGCCATGGCCGTTAATTTTCATACTAACCTTTTCAACATAATTTCAATCCGTTTTAGTAGGGCTTTTCAGGGAATTACGTTAGCTAGGGTAGTTTTATTTAGCGAATGTTATACGGAAAGTTGGATGGCAATTTTCGAGTTATTATTTTGCGTTGCATAATTTCAGCACGTGTGAGTAAAGTAAATTCAAACGTAATCTGAACAAGTGAATCTTTAACAAAAATAACGCTGAGAACGGCGTTAGAAAATTAATAATATCATAGTCTGGGGGACGGGGGATTTTCTTTGTGTTAGTAACATCGATTAATTAGGCACATCAATTTGGCTGACATTATAAGATATAAGATATTTGAATGGCTTTTCCTCGATTTATTATTCGTTTGTTGTAAACTCTAATTCTGGAAAATTTCATGTAGTTTTTCAAATATTCAACCGTTAAAAATAGAAAGAGAAAGTGTTAGGGTGCGGGTACAGGATGTTGACCGGGGAATTTTCAAGGGCGTCCTTTGTGAGCTTTTGTATTAGTCATCGGGGATTTGTTGTTGACCGAAAGCTTTGTCGATGAATTTGAAAATGAATGTCGTTGAAAGAAAGGCACAATTCAAAGCGAATATGCACCCATGGTTGCCTATATTTTATTTATTTTGCATATTTTATATGTCGCATTTTATCTGTTTATTTCGTATGTGTTTTTATTTATGTGTATTTGTTTGGGGATATGTTGGGGGGGGGGATGTTTGTTTCTTTTTGTTTTAATTCGGTCAACGACGTAACTTTTCCAAATCATTTTGATGCAGTTATAACTTCTTGGTTATTATCAGATAAATTCTTTGATGAAATCAGCGACGTAAATATAGCTTAATTTAATAAAATCATTGCCAAAATGTGAATAATTTAATCTCTTTCAAAATTCTTGTTCTTTAAAGTTATTGACAAAACATGAATAATTTCTCATTTCATTTTCCTGGTTGTATAAGATTGTTAATCACACGTGCATAATTTAATCTCATTTAAATTTCTTTGTTATTTAAAACAAGTGTTGATGGAGTGTGGCCAGTTAAATTTTGCTTATTGTTTGTCTGAAATCCAAATACTCATTTTGATAGCGCTATGTAACTCGGGGGTCGTGTGGCCTGGCCGCGGTGGCGTCGACGACTCCGTGCGGGTGGTTACGACTCTTGCCAGACTTCCGACCCTGGCTGACTCGGAGTTTACACAGCTGCCTTATCGGCGGGGGCAGGAAGGTCAACCTATAGCATGCGGGTGCGTAAGACGACGCGCGTGAAGTGGTGAAGCAGGAGGACCTCGTGGGCCCTCACGGGGAGTGCGGCTGCCGCCCTGCGCTCGCTGTGCGCCCCCCTCCCCCCCTTTTTGTTTGTAGAGGCCACACTGCCATAATATCTGGAATGTTGCCATCCATTTATCTTTCCGAGGATTCCGCGACTTTTAATTTTGTTTATTGTTGTACTTGTGAGGTTGCTAAATTTATTCTATGTCCTCAGGTTCGAGTGAAAATAAAGGTTTTTTTTTCTCTGAGGAATACATTCTTTAGGCTCTTCTGGGGCTCTTGGCCAAGGTCTCTTGAGCTCTTATTGGATTTATTTCTCATAGTTTTTTTTTCCAAATATAAGTTTTTTAAATCCGTCACTCTTCCCGCTCCGCAGTGCGCCAATTCGTATGAACGAACGCCTCCCGCCAGTTTTCAAAAGACAATGTAGGGTTCCACTTTAGTAGAGGATCACAGCCAAGGCCAAATTTCAAATTTCAGCGGGCTTTCAAATTTTGTTCAATGTCAAATAAAAGGCGGGAGGTTTGGGTTATTACAACAGGTAAATAAGAACTGGAGCAGATGGGATTATTCATGAAGATAAAGAAACCAGAGGCAATAATACTAGGAGTCAGAAGAAAACTGCCAACACTACAAATCTCTCAAGACATTGAAATTACGACCAGTCAAACACTAAATACCTAGGGGTGTATATGGATGAAGATTTAAGAATGGCGAAACATGTAGAGCATATTACTTTAAAGGTAGAGAAAAATGGCCATTGTCAGACGGAGTTGGGTTGGTGTATAGTTGGCTGCATACATTTCACACATTGTTAATGCTTTGCACCAGTTTAAAAACAAACTTAAATCCGATCATTACTTGATTAAACGTACCAGTTCAAATTTCGATGAAGATCTACTAAGGGAGCTAAAATTTTGTCTTGTTTGTGCCAGCTCGTCGATCCCTAAATTCGTTAGAGACCAGCATGGGGAGGATATTGGTTGGCATTGTTGCGAGAAGAAAGTTTTTGTGAGAAATATTTAAGTTGCGGCGATGAGCCATAGGCTGTTTCGAATGACCGTATTTGCCGTACACGTTAGGGACACAAAAAAAAAGTATAGTTGTTTATACAGATATAAATATTGATTATTAATTTTTTATATGTATTATGTCAAGTGTACTCGAGCCCGATAAACGCGAGTTTCGTTTTCGTTTCGTTCTTGTCTTGTTCTCTTCTTGTTCACTTCTTGTTCTCTTATTCACCCCAGAGCTGGTACCGTTGAAAGCTGGGCGGTGGGATGGTGTCGCTGTTGTAGATATACAGCAAAGACTGCAAAGATAATCTTCACACTATGGAGCAAGGTTATCACTGCTGGGTGTCATCTGTTCTGCTGCCTTTCTCATCAATAATTTTATTACATCTCCATTGTCTTTTTCTGATTCCAATGCGCAATGCAACGCGTTCTTGTAATTTTTGTCCGTCATGTTAATCGAAGCGCCGGCATTTAGTAACATTTCTACGATTTCATAGTCGCGTTCTTGACACGCAAGTTGTAAAGCGGTCGTTCCATTTCCATTTTGTGCATTTACGTCGATGCCTTTTTCAATGAGTAATCTTATCACATGTCGATTGTCTTCCCATGAGTCCGATGCATAATGCAACGCGTTCTCGTTGTCGTTATCCGCAAGGTTAATCGAAGCGCCAGAATTTAACAAAATTTCTGCTTCCCTATAATCACCGTTTAGACATGCAAGTTGTAAAGCTGTCATTCCATCTCGATTTTGTACATTTACGTCGATGCCTTTCTCAATCAATAATTTTATTACGTCTCGATTGTCTTTCCATGATTCCAATGCACAATGCAACGCGTTTTCGTTTTCTTGGTTTGTTATGTTAATCGAAGCGCCGAAATCTAACAACATTTTTACATTTTCATCAGCACCTTCCAAAAGTGCAAATTGTAAAGCGGTCGTTCCATTTCCGTTTTGTGCATCTACGTCCATGCCTTTCTCAATCAATAATTTCATTATAACTCGATTGTCTTTCCATGATTCCGATGCATAATGTAACGCGTTCTTGTTGTTTTTGTCCGCAATGTTAATCGAGGCGCCGAAATCTAACAACATTTCTAAATTTTCATCAACACCATGTAAACAAGCACGTTGTAAAGCGGTCGTTCCATTTCCATTTTGTGCATTTACGTCCATGCCTTGCTCAATCAATAATTTTATTATATTTCGATTGTCTTTCGGTGATTCGGATGCACAATGTAACGCGTTCTTGTTGTTTTTGTCCACAATGTTAATCGAGGCGCCGAAATCTAACAACATTTCTACATTTTCATCAACTCCTTGTAAACATGCAAGTTGTAAAGCGGTCGTTCCATTTCCATTTTGTGCATTTACGTCCATGCCTTGTTCAATCAATAATTTTATTATATTTCGATTGTCTTTCCGTGATTCGGATGCACAGTGTAACGCGTTCTCGTTGTCTTTGTTTACCATATTAATCGAAGCGCCGGCATTTAGCAACATTTCTGCGATTTCATAATCGCGCTCTCGACCTGCAAGTTGTAAAGCGGTCGTTCCATTTCTATTTTGTGCATTTACGTCGATGCCTTTCTCAACCAATAATTTTATTACATCTCGATTGTCTTCCCATGATACCGATGCATAGTGGAACGCGTTCTTGTTGTTTTCGTCCGCCATATTAATCGAAGCACCGGCATTTAGCAACATTTCTACGACATCATAATCACCTTTTCGACACGCAATTTGTAAAGCGGTCGTTCCAGTTCCATTTTGTGCATTTATATCGATGCCTTTCTCAATAAATAATTTTATTATGTCTCGATTGTATTGGCATGATTCCGATGCGTAATGCAAAGGGTTATTTTTCTCCTTGTCCGCAACGTCAATCGAGGCGCCAAAGTCTAACAATATCTTTGTCATTTCGTAATCACCATGTTTAGACGCCAATTGTAATGCTGTGATTTTAAATTTAACTGGTGCATTTATATTAAAGCCGTTGTCTAAAAATAGTTGAATTGCTTTTCTATGGCCGTTTAGGATGTCGCATTTATTAGTCTGTCGTTCAACTTTAAAAGAAAATTTGTCTTTAGTTCTAATAACTGCTGTTGCCATGAGATGTTCTCCAAATGCTTCGTTATCGTAATCGAAACTTGTTTGGCGTAATATCGTATGGACGAGCCTTGGGTTGTTTGCTATAACACCGGAAAGAATGTTAGGGTAACCCATCTGTGCTGCGTAGTATGCCAATGTGTCTTCCGTATAGTGTTGATAAACGTCTTCTTGGATGTCACAAAAGTTCAACAGTTTCCGTTCTAAAATTAGTTCGATGGGGTACAAACATTTTGCTTCTAGGCAATAACTTAACCAAATAAAATTGAAAACGTCATTGTCTGCGCTTGTCTCTATTATTTCGTTCTGTTCTTGAACGAGAATCTTTGCCATATGCACAAACCAATCAAGCTCTCGATTGAGTCTTAGAAACGGATGTAAATAAGAATAAAGAGGATATTTCATACCATACGAACAAATAAGTTGCCATGGCGTTCGGCCACCTTGGTCTTTCGTATTTATTTCATGTTTGAATTTTTCAAATTGTTCTAAATTTTTATAAACTATAGATAAATGCAACGGTTTATTTTCCGCCAACATTACGTCAAATATGAGCCGTAAATTTTCGTACCTCGGAGTAAATATCACTCCTCTCAGTAAAGGCGCTTTTTCTTTATTCTTTTTCAGCCAAACACACGCAAAGTATTCCGCGTATGTTTGATGATCAAATACAGCCTCCCCACTTTCGTTTATATTCTTAATTATTCCGTTCATGTCAAGCTTCTCTTTAAAGTGGCTTATAACATCTTCTAATTCGTGTAAGTCCACATTTAGTTTCCTAAAATCCTCAGTATCCAGACATGTTTTTAAAGCAATAACTTCGTATTGTTGGAGCGTTGCTTTAATGTTTCCAAACATATGTGCTCTCTCCCTACCTGCTATTTTTTCAATGTTGGATGTTACTTTTCCCTCGAAAAACAACTTATACATTTGCGTTAAAACGAAAATATTTTGTTCTTCAATCTTGTTGTAAGCTTCGTCGTTGGTGAGAAACATTTCTGCGATTATGTGTAACTGCAACGGGATTCCTAAGAGCTCTTGACTGTTGTTTAGATCTGTGCTAGCAAATACTGCATTTAAAATTTTTGCTACTCCTGTTTCTCCATATTTTTCTTTTAATTTTTTCCGGATGTACTGTTCTTGTTGTTTTTGACTTAATTGTTGTATCTCTACAAACACCGTATTTAATGCTTCTGAGACTTTCTGGCGTAGATTTTCTCTTGAAGAAATCCATACGTTGATACAATTTGATGACGCTTCTTTAACAAAATTTAAAACACAGTCGATGTAACTACTTTCCACTTCATCTAATCCGTCAAGAAATAGATACAACTTTTTATTTCTAAGCAAAATAGTCTTAATTTGTTCTAGACTTTTCTCTTTTGCCCCTTCAGTCCCTAAAAAGTGATTCCATATTGCTGTCGGATCTGGTTTCTTCGCTAAAAATGAATTACAGTTTATCAAATCAACGTAGATTGCCCAATACTCTGAAGGACAATTGTTGTAAAGAGCTTTCATTAATGTCGATTTACCCATTCCGGGTGGAGCACAGATCGCGTTAAGTGGATTATCGAGACAATTTAAAATATTCGTTTCTGATATATTCCATGCCTCATTTAAAACATCAGATGGTAATGCGTTCCCTTTTCTTAAAAGTAGGACACAAGACTTGTCATTAAATGTTTGCAGCAGATATACGTTCGACTTTTTTGTTTTATCACAAACCCGAAGAAACTCAGCATGTGTTAACTTGCCTTTTGTGGCAAGAATAATAACGTTATCATTTGCAACATATTCTGGACTAAGGTATTGAGATATTTCAACAAAATTGTACTTTGTATGCGTTAATGAACGATCTTTAAATGTCGGGTCGCAGTTAATTATTACCATTGCTTGGGATTTATAAATAGTAAAAATTTTATCTGTCTTTACGACAGTGGTAGATACATCTCTTGGGATGTGCAATACTGGCAGATCTTCTTTTTTGTTTCCCATTACATAGAGGGCTTGAGACATCTTCAATAGTTCACCGACTCCAACATGCTTAGCGATTTCTCTGTCAATTGTAATGAACTTCTCCAAACAAACTGGTTCTCTTCCTTGTAGAGAAATCGTAAAATTACGCAAAATATAGCCACAATGTTCCTTGTTTTCGGCCTTGTTCATCAGGTCAGATAAATCTTGAAAAACGTCCATCCCATCGAACTCACCCTTCATAACGTTACCCACCAAGATGATTTGTTTCTTTTCGACACTTTTATCCATCATTACTCTCGTTACACATTCGACTATTGTTTTATTCGATTCGTCCACTTTTACAATCAAAGGAATTTTGTTTAAAAACCATGCAATCGTAACTTGATCCGTTACTTTTAGTCCAAATTTCTCTTTGGTTTTCATAAATTCTTCATTCGGGATGTCCACATTTGGCCATATATTTTCGATAACATTTTCTTCGCTGTTTTCTACAATCGTTAATGAATAATTCATTATTGCTTTTCTCAGGTTTTCTGTTTTTGTATTTTGTTTGCTAGCGCTTAAAGTTTTGACGTAAGGTGTTATAACTAACTGAGTTAATTTGGCAATGACTTCGTCTTTGCTCAAGACAAAGTTTTTCGACCACCATTCGCTCATAAAGTGCATAAAAGAGTCGTAAACGTTGCATTGTAACATCTCGTGTAACATTTTTTCCACTACCACTTTAGTCTTATAGATGTTATTTTGTTCTGTAAAAAAATAAAACATTTGTGTTTTGTCATCTAGTTTTTGTCCAACTTGAAAAATGTGTGATGGTTTTCTTCGTTCGACGTTAAGTAGCAAATCTTCATATTCAATATTATCACATAATTCTAGACTAATATTTGCTGATATTTGTGTATTTTGTGTGATATATGTAGACGAATTTGTATAGAGAATGCAAACAACGTCTTCCGTGATATTAAGGGTCGATACAGAATTAAAATATTTTTGAACGCCAAAATCATTTTTGTCATTAAGTAGATTGTTACTTGTGACGGACTTTCTTCCTTCTTTGTGTTTGAGTTGAATGAGATAGGTGCGTTTTTTCTGGTTTTTGAATGTAACCATGAGTCCGATATCATCGAAAAGTCCATATTCTTTGTTGTTCGTAGTCATTTCAAAATCTTCCACGTCATCACGCGCAATCAATTTTAAAGCGTAGAATCCACACATCATTTTTTCATATTCCTTGCCATGATCTACAACTCCAGGAAGCTTTTTGTAGGTGCGAAACCGATCCTTAGGGCACTGAAAAATATTAAAAAATACCACTGAACATTTGTGAAGGCTTACGTAGAAACAAAAACAAACATTTATTATTTCGAAGATTACATTATCAATTATTGTTTAAATAAATCTTTTAAACAAATGTAACGAATACAAAAATTTTGGTTAAATACGAATTGTGTGTTGATTTTGTGGTTTTAATTTTTACCCCTCGAGCATATGCTAAGGAAGTGTTGTAAGCGAGTCCATCGGGCGACTGGCTACTTTGAAATTTTCTCTACGTTTCATGACCTCTTCCGTCTGTCTGTGTAGATTTTTATTAGATAGATAATCTCCGAAACTGCTGGACCGTTTTTTGTCAAATTTAATACCCATTTTAGCGCGTTCGATCCACCAACATGAGATTTTTTTTCTTAAACTGTGGTTAGTATTTTCTATATAGTTTTTATTGTATAAAATTTTGCAAAAACAAATTTTATAATTTTTCTCACGAATAGGGTTTATTGGACTATACCTCAGGAGTGAAATAAACTTCATCAATTTTTCAAGTATTAATTACTTTTAGAGTTATAACGTTCAAGCTTTTCATTTGCCGCACAAAATACGGATTAAGTGAATTTACCACGTTCGAAGAGGAACTAGCTGCTTCAGGTTGCAGAGTGATGGAGGTTCCTGTGCTTTGTCTTTTCGATGAGTTTGTTTTAATTTTCTTTTCTTTTATCCGCTTCATTTCTTCTTCCAATTTTTTTAATCTATCATTTTCTTCTTGACTATCCTGGTCCGACCCTGAGTCCATGATGATATAATACTGAAAATTTTAAATCATAAGTTCAGACTCGTTATAATTTGCACATTTTAGTTAGGATTTGTATGGCCAAAATTTTGAGCTGACGTCATCAATTTTTTGCAGGAGATAAGCAAATATATTTTGAATTTATTATGCTCTTCGCAACTTTAAAACATTTGCAAGATTTCAAACAAATTCAAAATTAAATTGTAAAATGTTCCATAATTTTGATTTTTTTTCCAAAAATCTGGACGTTTCGCGTGAAAGCTCAACACGGAGTCATAAACTACATGTGTAGGAATATGTTATCTTATACGATTTAAAACCCATTTACTAGGTACAATTATGAAGTGACGTCATCACTTTATATTAGTAATCCGTAGTTTTCATCTGTGCAAACCGGTTGAGGCCATGTTCAGACTTATTGGATTCAAAATATTTAAAAACTTGGTTTAAACTTATTTTAATCCTTGAAATTGGTTAAAAATAAAATTTTGTACGCACCACGGACATTATTAGATAGATTATAATATATAAATAATATAAACCTATGGGAAACACGTTCACGCTTCCTAATCTTATGCTTTGCGTCATAAAAAACACAGTTCTTATCGTGCCTTATCATCTTATCAAATTCTAAACAATTAAAATATTTTGTTAAACTTTTGAAATAATTTTGTGAATATCAAGATAGATCTTATTATTAAATTTTAAGTACGTATAGCTTTATAACATAAAGATAATAGCAGAGAAATAGTATGTTTTCAAAAATTTTGAATCCACAAATCAATGAACATTTATTTTCGAAAAAACGTACTTTGCTTACATTATTTCCTTCCGAATAAACAAAAATTAATGAAATTGTTCACAGTTTTGTTTTCCCATTACAAAAATGAAAAAACAATATATATTTAGTCTGAGCCAAAAAAATTGTATATATGTATACATATACCTACTTACATAAGAGAGAATTTCATTCACTAACAAATAAAAATTAATTAAATAATAACTTTATCTGGCATTTTTTTGTTGTAACTTGTAACACTAATTCGTCACGCGTCGTGCCGCAAAAGCGGAGGTAATATTATTTTGTAATTACTAAAATAATGCAAGATTAAAAATACAAAAACTTACTTGTCTTTATAGCTTGTCTTGACTGCAGAGGTTTACAATTATGTACTTCCTAATTTTTGATTTAGCTGGTACATGTCACAGAGAAAAATTCTGAAAAATAACACGTTCCCGTTTTCCGACAACAAAAGTTGATAAGCAGAAGTGTTACTGATTGAAATAATGAAAACTTGTTTATACGTTGCTATTCGATCTGGCAATAAGTTTATATGTTTTTATGTGTTTGAATATCATGATCACCGCAGAATTACTCACTCTGATACGGGGAAAGGCCCGAAATAAGTGAATACTCGACAAATAACCCCCACTACAACTACGCACAGCACTATCTTGGGTTTATCCGTTTCCGTCCAAAACAATTTTGCATTGTTTGTTGTTTGTATACATAAATACCAAGTTTTTTACATCTTCATGGATCAAACGAGTGTGTTTTAATGTTAATAATGTCTTGAATGGTGAAAACGATCGTTGAACATCGACACCATTCACAACTGGATGATCCAAATGGTGTTTAAATTGTTTTCTATGTGGATAGTTACCGTCTGAATCTGTGGAAATCAGTGTGTTGTAATACAATAAATGTCCGGACTTTTCCTAAAAAGTAGGGTATTTTAAGTTGTACACGAAATTCATTGCATATATTTTGTAAATAATAATTATTCGTAGTGGTATTCGCGTTCGCTTCGGCTGCAAGTTATCCCATTTGTCAAAAATTGTTAGATATACTACATAATTTACTTAATGACTAATGTGTATGTACAAATCAATACGCCCGATCGCGTGTACTGCGAGATGCGTTCTGTTAAACTGTTTTGGTCCAGGTCCGTACCACCTCGGTGCCGTCGAATGGTGGGTGGTGGGGTAGTATCGCTGTTGTGCAGGGCTGTACTGCGCACAGTGTTATAGTCTTTTTATATTTTTTAAATAATCAAATTGATACCAGTGCGTTAATAAATTCTCTATGTTTTAATGAACCTAGGATTAGTAGCAGGTCTTCTGTAACTTTTTGCAGCAGCAGACCGAGAAAAAATATTGTGAAAAACACACCGTCATATATATCGTCAGTAGACTACATAAAGGAAACTACTTAAAGAAATCGAAAACAACGCTGATTTCGATATTTTTAACTCTAGCATAAATTCAATAAAATCTACTATTCATCGATACCTGCTGAAACAATACTTGTTGATCACACTGTATATAGAGACGCTACTTTGTTTAGACATAAAGCACTATTAGGTATTAGTTACCATGAAAAAATAAAGTTTAAAATATAAACCTGCTAAAACAAGTAATATTGCGTGATAATGGTGACAAAAGGATAAGAAATAAACACATTAATAGATGTAACCAATAGATTTAACGTTCTGCTGAATGTTAAAAATTATTATTTAACAAAATTTAAGTCATTTCTCTGATTTAATAAAAATTTCCTTCTGTCAGTTTCATATCTTCATAGATGTTTTCAGATTCTGAACAAATAGTTCTGAATTTTGAATATTTTAAAATCTGTAATTTGGAAGGTGTCTAAATTCCATTCCTAAACGAATTTAAATAAAATTGTTCTTCTCTTACTGCTTCTACTCTTTGATCATGAACCATTTCGAGAAAGCATGTCATAGGAGCATTCTCTTTAAGTAAACGGATTTTTGATAAAAATTCGCCAGTGTCACGCGATTGTAGCCCCGAAAAATAAGTGAAGTTTATTTTCTCAGAATACTGATTTTACAACTTCTGGATCAGCGAAATCACCACTCCAGACTACGAAGACCCACAAAAATTGGTGTATACTCTTTAAAAGTGAAAGATTCTAAAAAACGAACTATATAAAACTCTAATAATAATGAAACAACTTTCAGAGTTTAAATAATATATTTGTAGTCACTGCTACACGTGTTTCGGTACACAGTACCGTCTTCAGGACCTTCAAATCAGCCACCACAAGAGTTACCATGAATTTAATATCTACCATAAACCTACTCATACAGATACTACTATTCATAGAACGTCTTTTTACATCCTTGGAGTCACAAATTAGCCGCATATCAATCAATGTTACACAGATTGTTGACTGTCCCCTTATCTGAAAATAACTTTGAGGTCGAACTTAAGAGAACAAAAATAATAGCTAAAAACAATGGTTATTCGGACGAGATCATAGATAATATGTTAAAAAAGAAAATTAAAAAAATCACATCAGCATTAATATATCCTTTAATTAAAGAAACCAATCAGTATAACATTTTAACTCATTTTGGAAAACTTTCTATTAAAACTGCAAAAATACTGCAAAATGCAGGCTATAAAATTTCCTTCCGTACCAACAATTCTTCAAGAACAGCATAATTTCAACGACGAATTCAAAATTTTACACATAGAAAATAAAGGCGCAAAATTAAACGCGTTAGAATGTCTGGAAATAAATAGGTACAATAAATTAAATACACTAATGAACGACCAAACCGAAATAAACAAATCTCCCTTACTTAACATAAATTTGAAAACACCATTGTTAAATCAGGTATAAATTCAGGAATAGCTCTGTAAAACCCCAGTTTCTCTTCTGCCTGAAGACGGTACTGTGTACCGAAACACGTGTAGCAGTGACTACAAATATATTATTTAAACTCTGAAAGTTGTTTCATTATTATTAAAATTAATATGGAGTTTAAACACGTATCAGCCTCATCAATACAAATATATAAAACTCGTTCTAAAAACAAACATCGGTCCGAATTACGAAAGATGGCATTTTACAATTTTGAACTTTCCCTGTCAAAGCTTATTAATGTAATAAAATCTTGTTTTCAAAAAGCGGCTAGTTAATTATGGAACTATAAATTCTGTGCAGCTGAGTTAACAAAATGTGGTTGCTATGGAAATTCGATACTTTGCACAATTTTGTGTCTTCCGATGAACGTCCATATGTTGTTATCAACTTGACTTGATAAGGTCTATTCCTAGCTTTTTTTGGGAAGTGCCCTAAGTGTTCCAAGTCTACCTCAGCTTCTGTTTCTAATAACAAGTGTGATTGTTGTGACATAATTCCCCATCTAAAGGAAGTAATTGATAAGCTATCAGCTACAGTTGAATCTTTAAAAAAACAGTTATCACAAAAAACGCCGTCCGACATTGGACTTGAAGATATCATTCGAGAAGTAAATGAACGTCAGCTCAGAAAATCAAATCTAATATTTTACGGCTTCGATGAACTACCCCAGCATACGCCCGCATCTGAGAGAAAAATTAAAGATCGAACCCTCGTCACTGACTGTTTGGCGTTTCTTGAAACAACTGGCGATGATACAGTTACGGATCTTGATTGTTTCCGTTTAGGGAAATATGATGTCAATAGAAGTCGTCCTCGGCCCATTAAAGTACATTTTAAGGATGAACAGCAAGCTAAAAAAATTGGTCTAAAGAGTTTAGACAGTACTTCCCTCGCTGTCGGAAACTTGACGACTGCATGCCTATTGTGTTTTTTTTCTCATTACATTTTTGTAGTGGGAATTTAAAAAAAAATTGCGATGACGTCATCAACATTTTTGCAAGGACACGTATATCAGTTGGGATAGATGTAGTGTAATACTAAGAATAAAATTATTATATTCTCAAATTTTCGGGAAAATGAATTGGGTCGTTTTGAATATTGATTTGTAATAATCAATAAAATAACGAAACAATTTACTCACGTATACGTATCAGAGGCAACTGAAAATCGTGTATGTATAAACATTCTTAATTTAAGATGACAGGCGTAACAGCATACGTGAGAGTCAAACAGAGAAACTGTAAACAAAACGACCATCGGTTTTATTGCTTCGACTTCCGCTTATTATATAAAACATTGGGTTTTATTTTAATTCTTGACGATGAAATTCACAATTGGTTGATTATAAACATGTCTATTTCACATTCGTGGAACCAAGTGAGCGCATAAAACAAATGCAGGTCTGTAATGTTAAAGTCGATGTAAATAAGCGTGCTACCCTTATGTTTCAACCGAGTTTTTCCTTTAACAAATTTTGTGTCTACCAAATTGGGTTGGTTGGGGTGTAATACTAATAATAAGTGTTGCCTTTAATTTAATCAATAAAATAAATTGACTTCATTAATTTTTTTGAACCACCTCTTAAGAAAATCTAAAAAATATGAATGGAATGATAAATCACAAGTACAAACTCATCATATTTTTTGCATTTTAGATAGGATTTATTCAGCAAAATTTAAGGGTGACGTCAACAATTTTTTTAGAAGGGATGAACAAATACATTTTGAACAAAAGTTTACCATGCTTATAATAACTTTAAAATATTCCCAAGATTTCAAAGCATTCCGTTTTGTAGTTCCTGATTAAATCAATAAAATATATTTACGCATTCATTAATTTTTTTGAGTCACTCTGTATATGCAAATCCAAAAAATATGAATGTAGTGATAAATGACAAGTACAGGCTCATCATATTTTGTACATTTTAGATATGATTTATTCGGCAAACTTTCGAGCTGACGTCATCAGGTTTTTGGAGGGGATAAGCAAATATATTTTGACTAAACATTTATTATGCTCTTTATGACCTTAAAACATCTGCAAGATTTCAGAGCATTCGGTTTTGTAGTTCCTGATTAAATCAATAAAATATATTTACGCATTCATTAATTTTTTTGAGTCACCCTGTATATGCAAATCGAAAAAATTTGAATGGAATGATAAATCACAAGAAGAGACTCACCATATTTTGTACATTTTAGATAGGATTTTTTCAGCAAAATTTTGTGGTGACATCATAAATTTTTTAGGGGGGACGACCAAATGCGTTTTGATCAAAAATTTACCATGCTTATGATAATTTTAAAATATCTTCAAGATTTCGAAGCATTCGGTTTTGTAGTTCCTGAGTAAATCAGTAAAATAAATTTACGCTTTCATTTATTTTCTTGAATCACCCTGTATATGCAAATCCAAAAAATATGAACGGAGTGATAGATCACAAGTACAGACTGATCATATTTTGTACATTTTAGATATGATTTATTCGGCAAATTTTCGAGCTGACGTCATCAAGTTTTTGGAGGGGATAAGCAAATATATTTTGACTAAACATTTATTATGCTCTTTATAACCTTAAAACATCTGCAAGATGTCAGAGCATTCCGTTTTGTAGTTCCTGATTAAATCAATAAAATATATTTACGCATTCATTAATTTTTTTGAGTCACTTTGTATATGCAAATCCAAAAAATATGAATGGAGTGATAAATGACAAGTACAGCCTCATCATATTTTGTACATTTTAGATATGATTTATTCGGCAAACTTTCGAGCTGACGTCATCAAGTTTTTGGAGGGGATAAGCAAATATATTTTGACTAAACATTTATTATGCTCTTTATGACCTTAAAACATCTGCAAGATTTCAGAGCATTCGGTTTTGTAGTTCCTGATTAAATCAATAAAATATATTTACGCATTCATTAATTTTTTTGAGTCACCCTGTATATGCAAATCCAAAAAATATGAATGGAGTGATAGATCACAAGTACAGACTCATCATATTTTGTACATTTTAGATATGATTTATTCCACAAACTTTTGAGCTGACATCATCAAGTTTTTGGAGGGGATAAGCAAATATTTTTTGACTAAAGATTTATGATGCTCTTTATAGCCTTAAAACATCTGCAGCATTTCAAAGCATTCTGGTTAGCAGATTAAAAATTAAATTTCAAAATGTTGTTTTATAATTTTGATTTTTTTTTCAAAAATCTGGACGTTTCGGGTGAAA